AGTTTTGATTTCTCATTAAAATAAGAGTTTTTTTCGTTTATTTCGTTTTCGTTTGTATAAAAAAAATTGAATAATTTTTCTGTTTTTAAAAACTTAAAAAAGATATGTTTTCACAAAATAATAAATGATTTGTTTTTAGTTTTGTTTTTTCTCTCTCGCATACCATCTAATGATCACTACTTTTACGACTCAATGAAAGTGTTTATTATTAATAATTAAATCAATGAAATGAATTGTGATTAGTATTACATTGCAATCAATCACTCATTCAATGGCTGTCCGTCCAGTGGTCACCCATTTGTGATTAATGAGGGCTTCGGTGGTGACGCGGGCACTGGTGTCCGGCTCTAACATCTTAGTCACCATATCCTTCAACTCTTTCGACAGATTTGGCTCCACTTTAGGCCTCCACCGCCAGTCCCTCGTCAGCTGCTTCTGTAACATAAGCGGGTCGTCGCCTAACCTGAAGGGCACGCCGTCGTTGAGTGCGATATAGTAACAGACGCCGAGACTCCAGATGTCGGATATGATCGGATCAAACGGCTGTCGCTGTAGTATCTCTGGACTGAAATGAAAGCGGGGTTTAGGGCTCGAGTGGTAGGCGCTCTGTAATGGTTGTCATTATGAAAAGCCCGTGAATTACCTGAAGTAAGGATCCGATCCGCAAAAGGTGGTCGTCTTCGGCTCATTCTTCTGGTACTCGACGGCGTAACTGAAGTCCGAGATCTTCGGCACGTGATTGTCGGTGATCAGTATGTTCTCGAGCTTCAGGTCCCGGTGCGCTATCCTATTGGTGTGCATGTGGTGCATGGCGTCCAGTATGGGTATGAAGATGGGAACGGCCTGTGTCTCAGTCAGAGCACCCTTATCCCTGAGCCAGTCAGCGAGAGTGCCATACGGGGCCCACTCCATGACCTTAAGCACCCATTTCTCTGTGTGCGAGATCTCATACACCTTAATAATGTTGTTATGTTTGCACTTTCGGAGCACTTTTATCTCATTCGGCAAAAAACTGGTCGTATAGTTGCCCTCAATCTTCCGTAAGTTAATCACTTTGATTGCAACCAACTTTCCCTTCGGGGTGACCGCACGGTAGACGTCGGCGTAGTCACCATTAGCCACGCAAACCTGCAGTTGAATGTCTTTGGTGGACAGGCAGCGGCTGACCTGAATGTAGTCCTTAGGTGGGCGGACCTCACGCTTAGGACTCTTAGATTTAGCCATAGTCTTAGACTTCTCGTCAGATGAACGACGACAACAACAACAGAGAAGACTACAAATACTTCCCATTAATTATTGTCTGTATTTATGGACACAAATGGAAACACAGATTAGTTTTCGCCGAAGATATCGCCGTTGAGTGTAAAAGTCGTTAAGAAATGTGAGTATTTGTGTTGAATTGTCAGTGAATATCACAATTAGTTAGTAATTCAAAATTGATTTGCACGCGAAAACTATTGGTTACGATTTGTTTTAATGATTTATTTTATTATAAATAAGTTTTGAGTGTTTTTTTTGTTCAATACATCGTTGAATTCAAAATCATTTGCATTTTTCCCGGAATCAGTTCAATCATATCGTCGAGTAGTGGTAACTCTTCGGTGAAGTGATTCTTATGGTCGGGGTTTCGGTCCAAATACTGTTTCACTTTATGGTAGTACTGCTCACAAGTCCTCCAATTCTTAAGCTGTTCCCTGGGATCCGGTGTCACGACCTTCGAGTGCAGTCTTCCGATGGAAAACACGGCCAATAGAACGGGTCGGACGTAGTCTTCGGGCAGAGTTTGCGGCAAATCATTGGCCGCCGACTGCTTGTCGTCGGCGAACGTCTTCGCGAACTCTTCGTAATTACGGATCGCTTTGGACAGCAAAAGGTTAACCTTTTTGGCGGCCGGGATCTGCTCGTCGACCGCCTTATCATCCATGAGGTGTGTCTTGAGTTCAGACATCTGTGTGTAGACCTCCGCCAACTCGAACAGTATCTGCCGGTACTGTCCGGTGAAGTGTTTCGGACTGATCTGCTTCTGGAGCTCTTCCAAGGCGTCGATCCGTCTCTTATGCATCCGACACTGTCTCTCGTAGTCCGTGTCGTATGGGATCAGGTATTGGAAGAGTTTACTCTTGTCTTGTATGCACTCCACGTAATCGGAAGCCCTCTCGTCGATGGTATAGAAACTCATGGCTTCCGCGAGACAATTGTTCCCATATTTGAAGACCTGTTGGGCGTCTGTTAACGTCGTTATCGGAAACGTTTTGATGCTTTTCTCCAATTCCTTCACTTCCGGATCGTTCAGTAGGTATGGCCTCAATGTGTCGGTTCCCCCGCTTTCGGGCGCCGGTTCCGGAAGTGTCTGCTCTCGGATGGCCAGACCCGAGGCCTCCAAAAGCATGAGACAGTACTTGACGACAATCCTCTTGAGATCGGCCATCGCTTTGCGGTACTTATCGGACGACACGTCGAGTGAGCTGTCGATCACTTTGAGGGCACAGCAGATGTGATGTCTGGAGGCGTCGAAGTCGTCGTTGACGGCGAAGTACTGCGAAAGTGTGGCCGCGTTTAGCGCCCAATCGATGCGGTCATACAGTCCGGGGTCAGTGTTATCTCGGATGTGCCGGTACTGGCGTTTCAGCGTTCGGTGACAATAGACCGCCGACTGGTTATTGTCTCCCAATTTCTCGTACGTCTGGGCCGTCAGGTAAAGGGTGAGAGTGTGTCCCGACTCCACATTCTTCGCCGCTTTGCTGTCGCCGTCGTTCGCCCTCTCAGTGACCGACAGATCGCTCAGAGGGTTGGCGACGAAGACGTCGCCGAAGTCCAGCAATAAGTGCATCGACTGGTCGTCACTTCGCGCCCACAAGTTGTACGCGTTTTCCGCGTCTTTCAGATACGGAATCGCTTTCTCGAAGTCATTCCTCGAGCACCAGATGAACGCCATCTGATTGTTGGCCACAATCGACATGAGTGTCAACGACAGGCGAACTCTGTTGGGATCGGACACCGAGTGGTCGATGAGTTGCGTCCAGAGGTCTAAACACGTCTGAAAGTGTCTCTCGGCTCCCGGCGTGTCATCGGTGTCCAAATCAATGGATCCCAACTCGTAGTGGAGAACCATCTGAATCACAGCCGACACGTCGATGTCGTGATCATCCGTGGCGTCAGCGGTGGTCGCAAACTGCGACAACTGGTCCACCAATTCGATGACAATCGCTTTGGCCTTATATTTGGATTCGTATGGACTCTCCTCCGGGTCTTCGGCACTCAATCGCTCGCTTAAGTCCTTCGCCTCGAGATATCGTCGCCGAGCGGTTGGCAGCCATTCCTCCAGAGCTGTCGAAGTCATCGATTGGATTAAGTCTTTGGCTTTCAATACAGCGTTTGAAAAGTGTTTTGAGTTTTGGTTTTGTTTTTTGTGTTGTTTTTAGGGAAACGTATAATCATTTTGTGGCGAAAAACCAAAACAAACGCCAAAAACACGTGACTTTTCGTTACGTTTTGTTTTGGTTTGCATTTCATTCATAAGTTTTTCAGTCGTTTTTGTGAACCACTTGTTCACCGCTGAAGACATGTTTGCCATCAAAGACACGGATAAGGAGGACGAGGATAACGAGTCGACGGTTTGGCTGAGAGTTTGGATTAGTTTTGGATGTTTAAGACATTGTTTTTCTGTGTGTTTTCAGACCATAAGCCGGTATTTCATCGCCAGTTCGCGCCTGAAGACCGATAGTACCACCGATTCAGACAAGACATCGACAGTTACCACACCCGCAGACACCGCCACCGCATCCACGTCTACGCCATCAACGGGTCCGCTGTCGACGCAATCGATCGCATCGACCGCCAAAGAGCTGTCAAACGCTGCGGACAGCGGACCCTCCGGTGAGGAAGTGTCACAAACTCGGAGACCAGTCGTAAACTTCGGGACCAAACTTCTGGTGAACCCGAACCAGAAGGCGAACAAACTGTTGCGACACTTGCGGTCGGCCTACGAGTTCTCGGCCGACATATCTCCCGCCCATTACCTGATGTCCGACTCGAGTTGCGCCGTCTTCTTGAGTCTCAAATATCACGCCATTTATGGCAACTATATCTACGATACGCTCAACGCCTTAAGACATTCATATCAACTGCAAGTACTGCTGGTATTAGTCGATCACATCGAGTATCAGTCGGCGCTCAAAGAGTTGACTCGAGTGTCCGTTCGGACCAATTGTACGCTTATGTTGTGCTGGAGTGCCGAAGAGGCGGCCAATTATATCGACAATTACAGACATTTCGCTAATAAGTCGCCCGATATTATAATGGGAAAGGGAGGCACCGGTGGGTCCGGTGCTGATACTGATTACACTCGCGTTGTGGACGCCTTGACGTGCGTGAAGTCCATCAATAAAACAGATGCCGTTTCGCTGATCAGTACTTTCGATACGATCGACAATATTGTCCACTCGGATGACGACCAGTTGATCATATGTCCCGGAATGGCGGCGCTCAAGGTATTGTCACTTAACAACGCGTCCAATTGATCGCATATCTTATATAAAGTGCTATTTTCTACTCAATCATAGGCTCAAAGGTTGCGACAGTTTTTCAACAAACCATTCATTAGAACCGATTGATTGCATCGAAAATATAAAGTTTTGTTTGAATCAAGAGTTTTATAAAAAATTGTAATAAATTTGTGTCACTTTTGTCTCACTATTCATAAGACATGGTTTGCTTTTAAATGATATATTTATTTCAAAACACAATCAAACAGTCGCACCACAAGACTATCACCGCCGGCGCCGCGGACTCCTGGATCTCCCCGATCTGCTGGAGCGCCGGCGGCCACCCCTACGCCGGTTTAGCGCCCGCCTCAGGCGCCGCAACCGTTCCGCCCGGCGCTCCAGGCGCTTGCGGTACCGGTGCAACCGGACCTGTTCAAGGATGTAAGCCCTATCGATGAGAACGTCGGGCGGGGGCTGGGGTTCGGGGCCAATGACGGCCTCAATGGCCCGGTTCTGGTCGGCGCGATCATCGTGTCGGCGGTCGTTGTGGTGGAAGCGCTCCATCTCTTGCCGGTGACGGAGGTCGCGGACGTAATCTCTGGGCGCCGGCTCCGCCAACGGGATGGTCTCCCAATTAATGGCCCTATTGGTGATCACCGGTGGGGTAACGGCAGCCATCGGTGGTGTTGGTGTCCACCGGGAAGCCTGAGCGGCCCGCCGGCCCGTATTGTCCCGCCATATGTTGGTCTGGTTGCCGGTGTCCAGACCGGAACGGCGGGGGCCGGGAGGGGTGGCCTCATGTGAGCGGTGCCCGGGCTCTTTGGTGAACATGTTGTTCTCGTCTCGACTCATGGCTAACCGTTAATGTGATTTTTTCTCAAAAATTTTAGTTTTAATTGTAATTAAAATTGTGTGAAATTTTTAAATTTTAATTGTTTTATTAAATTGAGTAAAATGTGTGGAAATTGATATAAAACTGTATAACAAATGTATAAGTTCAGTATATACTGTACTCCCTGTATTATACGATCACTGAGAATAGGGATGTGCCTGCTAACTCAAACTCTTCATCATCGTGATCTTATTAACCCTCATTTCATGCAAACTACTGTCAAATGCCGGCGACATCCTGTATTATACAATCACTCAGAATAGGGATGTGCCTGCGGTTCCGTATCAAAAGACATAATGATCAAAAGACCTAAAATTGATTAAAAGACCTAATTTTGATGAAAAGAACTAATTTGTGATAAAAATGCAAAAAACCACTTCAATTCAATATTCCCTTATATAGTCATCTTTTGTTCAAAATTCATTCTTTTGATCAATTTTAGGTCTTATGATCAACTATCGTGCCTGCTAACTCAAACTACTTCATCATCGTCATCTTATTCACCCTTATTTCTTGCAAACTAATGTCAAATGCCGGTATCCATCCCATTTCAGAGCACTCGTAGGAATTCAGTCTACACATCAGCCCAAACCCTTTATCATGAATTCTTTGTGCGTTACCAAATTGATCCGCAAATAGTGGTAAGAGTATCATAGGTTTCCCGAAATACATGGTTTCCGTCACAGAATTGTTGCCGCCGTGTGTTATCATTAGGTCTACGATTGGTAACACATTTACCTGAGGGACAGACCTC